GATTTAGATTCAATGCCACATGGTAATGACTGCATATAAGGTAAATGACAACACAATGAAGTCGTTTCAGAAACAAACAAATATAACGCAACAAATATAGCAATCTGATATGCATATAATTCCATTTTATTCTTATTATTTTCTTTACGGAGATTCTCAAAAACAAACGAAGCCGGGGGCGCTATTGAATTCGGAGGTGTAAGTTTCAGCAACTCATTCCAATGATTTTTCCAGTTCCCTATTTAAAATATATTTGTACTATAGTTAAAGTTTTCAGCAAAATTACCTTCTAAATTGTGGTTACCAGGCTTATTGAATTCGTTGACCGTTGTTAATTAAAATGCCCAGATTGATACTCTATTACTCCCGAATTTAATTCAATTACATTCACTTCAGTAAAACGACTAAACTATGTCTTATATTATTTAAGAATTTTTAAATGATTTTTATATGATAATAATTAAAATTTAAAAGGTATTTATTTTCAATAAAAACACACACTTCAGACACTCACAATATAACGAAGCTCTACAGAGTAGTGATGTGTTATTCACAAAGATTGTTTTAATATAGTTTGTAAGATAAAAAAAAAACAAACATGTTTACATCATGAACTAATTATCTTCTTAGTTCATGGTTTACATCCAGCATCGCTGGTTGGCCTTATCTATCGATAACTTAATGCGTTAATATTTCACGGGGCTGTTATAAATTTATGTTGTAGGCATAGACCTTATACTATAAGGTCTATGGTTGTAGGTTATTTCTTATCTTGTCCATTATTGGGGTTTTTTCATAGATAATATATTTATTAAACTTATTATCTATGGGATTTTTTCGATGAAAGCAAAATATATATTAGTTGAGTAAAACGCAATAAGTGAGTTGATTCCCGAGACCAATCTCATATTCTCATGTATTAATTGATTCCCGGGTCGTTAAGAGGTACGTACGAGTTGATTCCCAGGTCATTATATATTTTATTCAATATTTATTAAAATATCCAGCCTATTAGCATAACCAAAGAAACACCACTAGGAGGTTGGCTGACAAGTTTCTCGAAAATGTTGTTTTTTTTAGTTTTTTCATATTTTGAAAATCATTCAATTTTTATTTATTAATTATTTATTGAATTATATTATATTTATTATTATTAAAAACATTTAGTGGTAATTAGGTAAAAAAATATTATTAAAAACATTTAGTAGTAACTAAGTAAAAAAATATAAAAAAATTTAGTAATTTGGTAAAAATTTGTAACACATTGTTTTTATAAATTGGTATCTGATAATAAGATTACCGTGACATCTCTTCTCTTAAAAAAATTTTTTTTTTTTTTTGTTTTTTAGATTTCTTAGTTCCATTACTCCTGCAATTTTTTGTAAATTCGCGCGTGGTCTCGGTGGACATAAGAGCGAGTTGTGTGTGACGGCCGAACTCTTTACGGTCGTAAACTCTTTACTCATGCAATCTATTGATAATTGATATACAACGATAGGGAATCAACTCGTACGTACCCTCTATAATAGCTCGAGAATCAACTCAACGGTGTCGGTGCAGGTAAACAGGTACACGGGAATCAACTCGTAGGCAGCCGAGTAAAAATGCAAAAAGGGCACGTCATGTCCATAATTTTCATTAAATCACAATTTCAGACAAAACAAAATATACCTACACTATTGTAAAACTAATAGGTCATATATAGGTGCATTAATTGCTCCACTCAGAGTCTAAAAAAACACATAAATATACCAAAGCAAATTAATTCATTGTTACAGATTCTATAATACAAATCCTATACAATTTTAAAATTATATTTTACATCTTAGTTACTACCTTAATTACTTAATACTTTTCCACTATAATCTACAGTTGACAGCTCGATACCTATTTAGCGGGGGGGGGGGGTTGATACGGTGTATTATATCCACAAAAATGAAGTATCTTAAACATTTTGTTCATACATAACATTAAATCATTAACAATCTACATACATCAATATTATACCTATACTGCTATAAAATTGTTGTGTTTATTAACATAGTTTTTGTAATAGGGCTAGCCCCCTGACTGCCCACTTTCCAAAACAGTGTTTAGATTAGGTCACTTAGGCACCATTAAATTTTAAATTTCCATCTTCCTAGGGACTAGGACCATAGCTTATTTATAGGCGTTTTTGTTTATGGACTGGCTATACTAGGCTAATGGGCTAAATGTAAAGCAATATAGTAGGTACCCTTAAAATAAACTAATAAATACGATTTTCAGCCATAGCCCTTATGTGGTATTGAATTTTAATACTTTGTAGTTCTTTATGTAAGTTTTTATTTCGTATGAACCGTGGTAGCACAGTGTATTTGCTATTATTTTTGGTAGGTACCTAGTACTACCTACCTTATATTGAGAAAAATATAAGGCAAGCGTTAGTGAGTAATGAAAGTAAAAATTACCTTATAATATTAAGTTCACCAGAAGAGGAAGGGTCAAAAGTGCCATTTCATTAGAAATTTTAACTACACGTACTTTAATAATTTATTATTGTTATTTATGCTCAGAATATAAAATCAGTAGTCAATAAATAACAATAATAAATTATTAAAGTACGTGTAGTTAAAATTTCTAATGAAATGGCACTTTTGACCCTTCCTCTTCTGGTGAACTTAATATTATAAGGTAATTTTTACTTTCATTACTCACTAACGCTTGCCTTATATTTTTCTCAATATAAGGTAGGTAGTACTAGGTACCTACCAAAAATAATAGCAAATACACTGTGCTACCACGGTTCATACGAAATAAAAACTTACATAAAGAACTACAAAGTATTAAAATTCAATACCACATAAGGGCTATGGCTGAAAATCGTATTTATTAGTTTATTTTAAGGGTACCTACTATATTGCTTTACATTTAGCCCATTAGCCTAGTATAGCCAGTCCATAAACAAAAACGCCTATAAATAAGCTATGGTCCTAGTCCCTAGGAAGATGGAAATTTAAAATTTAATGGTGCCTAAGTGACCTAATCTAAACACTGTTTTGGAAAGTGGGCAGTCAGGGGGCTAGCCCTATTACAAAAACTATGTTAATAAACACAACAATTTTATAGCAGTATAGGTATAATATTGATGTATGTAGATTGTTAATGATTTAATGTTATGTATGAACAAAATGTTTAAGATACTTCATTTTTGTGGATATAATACACCGTATCAACCCCCCCCCCCCCCGCTAAATAGGTATCGAGCTGTCAACTGTAGATTATAGTGGAAAAGTATTAAGTAATTAAGGTAGTAACTGAGATGTAAAATATAATTTTAAAATTGTATAGGATTTGTATTATAGAATCTGTAACAATGAATTAATTTGCTTTGGTATATTTATGTGTTTTTTTAGACTCTGAGTGGAGCAATTAATGCACCTATATATGACCTATTAGTTTTACAATAGTGTAGGTATATTTTGTTTTGTCTGAAATTGTGATTTAATGAAAATTATGGACATGACGTGCCCTTTTTGCATTTTTACTCGGCTGCCTACGAGTTGATTCCCGTGTACCTGTTTACCTGCACCGACACCGTTGAGTTGATTCTCGGGCTATTATAGAGGGTACGTACGAGTTGATTCCCTATCGTTGTATATCAATTATCAATAGATTGCATGAGTAAAGAGTTTACGACCGTAAAGAGTTCGGCCGTCACACACAACTCGCTCTTATGTCCACCGAGACCACGCGCGAATTTACAAAAAATTGCAGGAGTAATGGAACTAAGAAATCTAAAAAACAAAAAAAAAAAAAAATTTTTTTAAGAGAAGAGATGTCACGGTAATCTTATTATCAGATACCAATTTATAAAAACAATGTGTTACAAATTTTTACCAAATTACTAAATTTTTTTATATTTTTTTACTTAGTTACTACTAAATGTTTTTAATAATATTTTTTTACCTAATTACCACTAAATGTTTTTAATAATAATAAATATAATATAATTCAATAAATAATTAATAAATAAAAATTGAATGATTTTCAAAATATGAAAAAACTAAAAAAAACAACATTTTCGAGAAACTTGTCAGCCAACCTCCTAGTGGTGTTTCTTTGGTTATGCTAATAGGCTGGATATTTTAATAAATATTGAATAAAATATATAATGACCTGGGAATCAACTCGTACGTACCTCTTAACGACCCGGGAATCAATTAATACATGAGAATATGAGATAGGTCTCGGGAATCAACTCACTTATTGCGTTTTACTCAACTAATATATATTTTGCTTTCATCGAAAAAATCCCATAGATAATAAGTTTAATAAATATATTATCTATGAAAAAAACCCAATAATGGACAAGATAAGAAATAACCTACAACCATAGACCTTATAGTATAAGGTCTATGCCTACAACATAAATTTATAACAGCCCCGTGAAATATTAACGCATTAAGTTATCGATAGATAAGGCCAACCAGCGATGCTGGATGTAAACCATGAACTAAGAAGATAATTAGTTCATGATGTAAACATGTTTGTTTTTTTTTTATCTTACAAACTATATTAAAACAATCTTTGTGAATAACACATCACTACTCTGTAGAGCTTCGTTATATTGTGAGTGTCTGAAGTGTGTGTTTTTATTGAAAATAAATACCTTTTAAATTTTAATTATTATCATATAAAAATCATTTAAAAATTCTTAAATAATATAAGACATAGTTTAGTCGTTTTACTGAAGTGAATGTAATTGAATTAAATTCGGGAGTAATAGAGTATCAATCTGGGCATTTTAATTAACAACGGTCAACGAATTCAATAAGCCTGGTAACCACAATTTAGAAGGTAATTTTGCTGAAAACTTTAACTATAGTACAAATATATTTTAAATAGGGAACTGGAAAAATCATTGGAATGAGTTGCTGAAACTTACACCTCCGAATTCAATAGCGCCCCCGGCTTCGTTTGTTTTTGAGAATCTCCGTAAAGAAAATAATAAGAATAAAATGGAATTATATGCATATCAGATTGCTATATTTGTTGCGTTATATTTGTTTGTTTCTGAAACGACTTCATTGTGTTGTCATTTACCTTATATGCAGTCATTACCATGTGGCATTGAATCTAAATCTGTAGCAGAAATAAAATTGCTAGCACCTACTGACGAAGGAAGAGAAGTTGGAATGCCGTCGTCAGTGGACATAATCACGGACTTGGTTTCTGGATTATGTTCCTATTCTATGTGTGCACCCGGTTATATAATAAAGAAAGGGGTATATTGCGCGACTGGCTCTTGTAATGTATTTGGTTGTAACTGTGACGGAAAATGTATCAATAAGGATTATGTCGACGGTAATCTGCAACGGTTGCGGCGGGAGAGTGATAATATAAATTTGACTTATGAACATTTATCAAGAGCTCGGAGATCAACTAAAGTTGATAAGACACGAAATACAATTAATACTATTTATACTGATGGAAAATTAGAGTCGCATACGCCTACGACACATTCCCAGGCTAGCCAGGTTCATCAATAAGGTACCTACGATCACGATAAACTTAAGAATTTGTTTGACTACAGCGGTGACCCGTTGCAAACCCTTTAATCAACTAAATAGCACACAGGAAAACGCAATTTTGCTGAAAGCTCAAATTATGAACTTAACCACTAGCAACAATAATGGTAAAGCTACGGAAGCAATTCAGACATTGAGTAATTCAATTAATGGTGCATGATGGCTGAACCGGAAAATATATATATATAAATTTTATAAATCATATTATGTGAAATTTTGGGCAATTAGAGCCACTAATAGTACTTGTAATTTAATAAAATAAATTTAAATGTTTTAATTAATTGAATTTAATGAATTAGGTTGTTCTTTTATTTTTCACTTTTCTTAATTTAATTTACAGAATTTTCGAGTTAACACTAAATAATCTATAAAAAAAATGTTAAATGTATTTTTTTATTATTATTAATAATACAAAAATTGTTTAAAAATTATTGATTAAGTGTATTGGAATTTGGAGATGGTATGTTAGTAGAATTGTTTATTTTATTGTAAAATGTTAAATATACTACTGAGGACTACAATAGAACATTTTAAACTTTGTTTTTTAGTTTTATGATCGATATTTAATTAGTAAATTAATAGATTATAATAAATTGATAGAACCATAGAATGTATAATTCTATGTTGTTAATAATGTGTTTCATTGTCTTGCCAGTCTTGTATACAGAAAGCGGAAAAATTATACTTCCAATTTCTAACAGATAAATAATATTCAATCAATCCTCCAAGTTCTAGGACCTAGGTCAAACTGTAAATACAAAAATTATTTCAAAATTATGGTTTCACAAATTATTAGAATAAAATATCTATATTATTTCACCATTTATAAATTTATTTATTCATATATATTTACTATTACTTATATTAAAATCGAATTAATGGTAGAGAATCATTAATTGCTAGCAATTATTAATTATTATAATAATAAGTGTTGCATTATTTATTGCTTTATTTATGCTTATATGCCTCCCGGTTTTTCGTTCGTTTGTCGCTACTACAGGTTACAGGTACCTTAGTTGCGACTCGTAAAAAATGTATACACAAATTGCGTCCCATTATATTGGTAAGGTAGGTAGTAGAATTTTTTTTTCGTTTTCAGGGGTTCTTCGTTGTGTATTAATTATAACATATAATATTTTGAACTAAAATTATGTGATACAATTTTTAGATATTCTAACAATTAAATCTAATTATATAAATCAATTATTATAACTATTTATAGAGTTCTCTAACACCATAATTTTTTTTCATTTTGAATTTTTAGTTTACTTAGTTGAGATATATTATTCAGTTTTACATAAGCAAGTCCTTAATAACACTGGCAGAGTTTCTATATTCCATATACCCATTATAAGTAAAAAAATAAAACTGGCGGAGTTTACAATCGCCCAGGTGAGTGTGTCCTATTCTTGTCCGGGTAGTAATTACTTCCTCTCTTCTCTTAATATACTTAATATGGTTATACTTCCAATTTTTAATATTTAGTTTTATGTTTTTTAATTTGTTCGATGAAAGACTCGAGTACCTACTGTTATACAAATTTAATTTGTATGGCAAACAGAGGTTATTGCTACTTTAGCAATTGAGTCTGATAGTTGATTAATTTTTAAAAGATATCTCTATTTCATTCAGTGGCGGAGTGGTTTAAAAATTCTTACCAGGCAAACAGGTATTTTTAGGCCACATACATTTATTTCAGGCCACTTTTTCAAACTTATAGATGTCGCGGTCGTTTACCGATCGGCAACCGATTATCGGTCACCGACAAAACGCATAGTCTGATCGAGCACTTAAGTCCTGTAGTATCACGTGATATATGTGTTATTGAGTTGTATTACAAATTAGATGATTAAGAGAAAAGGTTAGGTGACTTATGTAATTAAGATTTGCAAAAATATACCAAAGATTACAAAGGTACGATGGAGTGATTTGATCACTTACGTCATATTGGCTAAGGAAAATAATAATAATAATAAACCATAGAGTTCGGGTACAAACTCCAACGATAAATTTTACAGTTATTGTAAAAATTAATATTAATTATGTAGACGGTCATCTTCAATGGTTTCGGCAGGAGAATGATAATATAAATTTGACTTATGAAAAGTTATCAAGAGCTGAGGATCAACTAAGACGCGAAATAGAAAAATTGATGGAAATTTAATCTCACATACGCCTACGACACATTCCCAGGCTAACCAGGTTCATCAATAGGGTACGATCACCATAGACATAAGCATTTGTTTAAGTGCTGCGGTGGCCCTAAAATGTTGAGAAATATATACCTGGAAATCCTCCGAGACGTCTGAAGCGTAAGTGGTGTCGAGATCTCTTAAATTAAGTATCTTAAACATTTTGTTCATACATAACATTAAATCATTAACAATCTACATACATCAATATTATACCTATACTGCTATAAAATTGTTGTGTTTATTAACATAGTTTTTGTAATAGGGCTAGCCCCCTGACTGCCCACTTTCCAAAACAGTGTTTAGATTAGGTCACTTAGGCACCATTAAATTTTAAATTTCCATCTTCCTAGGGACTAGGACCATAGCTTATTTATAGGCGTTTTTGTTTATGGACTGGCTATACTAGGCTAATGGGCTAAATGTAAAGCAATATAGTAGGTACCCTTAAAATAAACTAATAAATACGATTTTCAGCCATAGCCCTTATGTGGTATTGAATTTTAATACTTTGTAGTTCTTTATGTAAGTTTTTATTTCGTATGAACCGTGGTAGCACAGTGTATTTGCTATTATTTTTGGTAGGTACCTAGTACTACCTACCTTATATTGAGAAAAATATAAGGCAAGCGTTAGTGAGTAATGAAAGTAAAAATTACCTTATAATATTAAGTTCACCAGAAGAGGAAGGGTCAAAAGTGCCATTTCATTAGAAATTTTAACTACACGTACTTTAATAATTTATTATTGTTATTTATTGACTACTGATTTTATATTCTGAGCTAAGCGATTAATCAATTGATTTTACAATGATGTGTATTTATATTTTTATTTTTATAGTTTCAGTATATTTTCCTGTTGTAAAATGAATATAGTTGGTGCATTGGAAAGGTCTAAATTTAAAATTTGTAGTAGTTTCCAAAAGCACAAGGAAAAACAAAAAAAAATTAAGGAAAAACGGGAATTTATACGCGAAATCGGTTTTCTATCAAATCGATTTTAGTTTTTGGTGTAACTCAAAAAAAAAATTACGGAAGGTATATGACATTTTCACTGAATATATTAGCATTTTATCTACGAACTGCCTACGTTAGTACGTGACTGACTTTGCTGATAAGGTATGATGGACTGATTGTCAAATTTCAGTGATTTTGGTATTAAGCAAGCTTTATATATGACTTTGTGCTTTTGGAAATGTTGATTTGTACTTTTCAGTTATTACGCGATGGAACTTTTAGGTGAGCTTGTAGTCTAGGTTTAGGTATTACTACCTCTTTGGGCGCTGACTCGTTATAAAAAAATGTCGTGCTTTACATCTAAGTATCCAACTACTGCCTATATTATATTATTTTGTATTATGTTTGGGACTTATATAGGCAACACATCGAACACATTCTTATCAATGTCTGGCTTGGTCAATCTAGGTTTATCTTTAATAATTACATAAAGCATTGGGTGAACTTGGGTACACTTATGATCATTCACGACATATCTACACAGTAACACATTACCCACAATGTATATAGAATGTTGCCTAAATCCAGCCCCTCAAAAATAATTCGCTTTCAAGTTTAAACAGCCTTATTACTTATTAGGCTGTGATTAGTGGCTAGTTTTAGAATTTATTGGTTTATAGAAACTTAATAATGTCTAACTTACGTCTCGCACACGACACACGTAAGTAAGTAAATGTCTGAGATCTCTAAAATGTAAAGTGTTTACTAAAAGTCATGGTTTATTATTACTGTTTTTAGTTTACACAATATCTAACCATCTATTTTCCATCTTCTATATGTATAAAAGCATAAACTGACGGGAGGTATCAACGTACAGTCTAAACCACTTTGTCTAGAGACTTGACATTTTGCATAAAGGTTCCTTACACAACGTAGACGAGCATCAAAAAGAGTTTTTCAAAATTCAACCTCTAAAGCGTTTTTTTAAAATTCATCCCTTAAGGTGATGAAACAGGGTTTCTAATTTGTCTACAAATAAAAAGTTCAATTTTTTTCTCCAAAGTTTCTGATTTGCTTAATCAATGATAATAGTTCGCACGACTCTTGGCCTCGTCCAAATCCATGTCGTTCAATGTAATTCAGTGGCGCCGAAGTCCAACATTTTACACATAACATTAGACACCTCCATATAAAATTTTGATACCCACCTATTTCTTATAATTACCTTGCTATACACCAAGCATAGTTTTTATGTTGTCTATTAAACATATTCATAAAATAACTAAAGAATGACAAAGGTGACCCTCTAGTCCCTACCTAGTCTACTAATATCATATACATTTTGGCGCCACTGATGTAATTATTGAAGACATTATAAAAGATCGGCTCCTAGGTTTGACCGTGTTCGTGGTTACCACTTGGTCCATTATTGCAGTATCCGTATCCTACAGATTAGTGATGATCAAAACAAGATCAAGACTCTCGCAAGACTTTTGCTATTTTCACAAAATATATAAAGAAAAAAATTTAAAAAACTAAATACCTATTATAGCTGTGTTTAAGTTTTTTGCTATGATCTCTAAGATGAAACTTAAGTATAATATATTATAATATAGTATAATATAGTATAATATATAGTAGTATAGTACCTATATATACAACAAATACAATTTTATAGATATTTTTAGAAAAAAAACTAAAAAAAAATGGATACAGAATATGTCCGTAAAGAGCTCAGAATATTTGGAAAATGTTATAGAAAATGCTAATATAAACATTCAGTCAACATTTCATGTACCTACGATCATTTGTTTAAGAGTTGCACCAAAAACCAAAATCGATTTTCTCGAAAACAGATTGTGCGTAAAAATTCCCGTTTTTCCTTAATTTTTCTTTTGTTTTTCACGGCGCTTTTGAAAACTACTGGAAGAATTTTACTTTTGACCCCACTCAGTACCAACTAGATTCACTTTTCTATCAGAAAAGATACTGTTGAAGAAAATCCAAGCACTTTTACTGTCCTAAAAGGTGATGACAGACACAAAAATAAAAAAGAAACACACATCATTGTGAAATCAATACATTCATCGTTCCACTCAGAATCTAAAATTAAAAAGTTATAACAATTATTTTACACAAAATAGAGTTATTGAATTTTCTTCAATAAAATTTACTTAGTATTATTTTTACATAAACACTGAACAATGTAAATATATAGTTATGTACAATTATTCTAATATAATGTTATAATATGCTCGAAAATAATAAATATAGGAAATCGTTTTTATTCTTTTCGTTCGCGTTGACGATCTCCCGCCGACCATCGATGTGCTGCAATTATTGTATACATAATACGGTATACTCCCCCTAAATATTATAATATTAGGTAATAGACAATTTAGTATTTACACGTATCGAACCTAATACTATTTTCACTGGGTATAATCCATAATATATTTTATATTATTAAATGCAAATGGATTATTCTTCATAATTTCCGGGCGGTGGTTCAAAGGTTGACTTCGCGGAGTTTTACATGGTTGTCCAGCACCTCGGTGAACCATTTCCGCTTGACTGGCTCGGCGAGGAACGTGGACACGACTTTGAGGTGCAGCCCGACCACCGACTGCTCGTCCATTAAGGCGACGATCTCGTTGCACAGCTCAGGTCGGTTCTTGAGAGCGTATAGGCTGATATACGACTGGCCCACCTTGGACTCGACCTGTAGGTTGGTGTCGACCCATTTCTCCACAGCGTTGGACCCGACGCTCATCACATGCCCCTGGTATTCGGTGTACAGTGGTGACAGCAATAACACCGTGTCCGCTTCCGAACAGTTGTTGAGCACGCACTTGTAGAACTTGTTGTAGAACACCGGAAGATACACCAACACCTATACGCGGAAGTATGTGGTTATCATCATTATATTGTACCTAGTGATCCGTTTTAAGTAAGACACTCATTATTTTAAAAAACTATACTTTTTAAAATTTATTTTTTATATAATTTTAAGTCGTTGAAAACAAAAATGTTTCCAAAAAAATAGACGTTTTACTAATTTTAATTTTTTTTACTTTTTTTATGACAACATGCATTTTTAATTCCTTATTCCAAAGCAGCAGATTTTTTGGAGTACTTTGATTGATAATTATCAAATATTGGAGAAGTAGTTTATGAGTTATTAGTACGCTTTAAGTAGAGTGGAATGGTACGGGGATACCCCTGGCAAAATACTGATCCATTACTCCACTCACCAAAACTTTAAGTTCTTATAAGTTATAAGTTATAACTTATAACTAATAAACTACTTATTCAAAATTCGATTTTTATAGACAGAAAATTGAAATACTCCTAATAATAGTCTGTTTCGGAATATGAAATTAAAAATGTATATTGTTTTTCAAAAAGTGTAAAAAACTAAAATATAAACATCGATAAAAATTTTATTTTTTTCCGAAAATATTTAAAAGAAAAATTTTCATACAGGTTTGGGTTTTTCTGTAATAATGAGTGACTTAAGTTAAATGGATCTCCCTACATGGTTACATACAATATACACATCATAAAACACATCATAATACCAAAATAATATTAAAAAAAATTCAAAAGGTAGTGTGCAATAAAGCCATGGCAAAACTTAAAAGTCACTTGATTATAATCACAACAAAATTTTAAGTATATATCTACCATTAACATTATTTTTTGTTTGATGAAAAAAAATTAATTTTATTCTAAACTTTCATATTGATTTCCTGATCATTTGATTTTTTTGAGTTATGGAATTATTGTACTGACAGTGCAATTTAATCTGTTATTATATATTTTATAATTTACGCGAGGTATGATTTCGATCTAAAAAATTGCGCTGATACAATATTTAGCACTTTAGCAGGTATTTGTTAAAATACATTAAATAATATTATTTTAAAAATTGAGCTTAACAAATAACAACTAGGAATAATGTTCAAATATTTTCTATAAAACAATGCAATTTTTGTAACTTTCTACTAAAAACCAAATAATAGTAGGTAAAGTATATTATAATATTAATTGTAAATTATTATATAAAAACAAGTAAATTAGATTTTGTTTTTTGCTCTACTATTATAAAGTACACTATAGAGTTGGTTTATATAAGAGAGATTAGCGCTTTTTGCATATTAATTTTATTGTTGCTCAATAATGATATCGAAGGTAAAAAAAAAAACAAAAAACAAATGTTTGGGTGTGTTGTTTTTGAGGAAACCATGATAAATAACGTAGGAGATAGAAATTAGGAATAATCTTGAAAGGAGCGCGTAAGAAAGACGAAAATATTGTGTCCGATACTCCGATCAACATTTTAGCTGAAAAATGTTTAATTAGTAACTTAATTGTAACTTACATTATATTATATTTAATTTAAAATTATTAAAGGCGTAGGTAGTTAACCTATACTGGCTGTACCTGGAAAACAGTATCTCCTAATGTGTATTCATCAATATAATGTGATCCATGCTCTGTAATAAAATCCGTCACCATGGATTCTATACCAATGGACATACATTTAAATTTGTCGGATATTGTTGATTTTAGTTCTGCTACTTGTGTAAAGTTATCAAATGTTTTAATACGTTTCACCGGTCGCCTATAAGACACAATTACGAATTTTTGTCCGAATCCCATTGCTATATCAGGTACACCAAAACGTTCAGATACCATATGTCGTGATCTACTTGTTGTCAACAGTTTCCATGGTTTATCGGTTAGATCAACTTGAAAGCCATCAAAATATACGTCAAATAGGCAGTCCAAATCTGGACAAAACGTGATGTTTAGTAGATTTGTATGGTTTTTTGTCACATTTAAGACTTCACTGAAAAAAAAAATTATTTATATTAATTAATAACTTTTGGCAAATATTTGATAAATAAAAAAAAGAGTAAAAGTGTAAAACCTATGTCAAAATTAATATAGTACCTACATTATATTATTATATTTGTAAAAATACGCAAAACGCAATAATATGTGTACTGATTTTTCAGTTATTTATACACGGAAAAAAGTAATTTGGTTATAATATTATTTTTTTTCGTGTATAAGTATTTTATGATGCATAATCCTATAATATTTATTTATAACGTAAAAATATTCATCTATAGACTAAATTAATATACCTAACCAAAAGAATGGTATAGTTCTATAAAATAATTTTCTAATTTCTTATCGCTAGCCATATATCTATAGTTTGTGATAATTCAACTATAGTCCAGAGGTCTTCGAAGTTCAAACCACAGCCTGCAGGCGGACCATCACATGTACCTAACAATATTTGAGTGGACTGCTTAATCGTATTATATTGATACCTACTGTGTGCATGTATTCAATTCACTGTACATGGTAACAAAAAAAACAAGATGTTTAGAGCATATAAGTAGATATGGTATATATAATAATATATCTATACACGTAGGAAAAATTATCAAAACTCATCGGTGGCACACTGTAAAAAATATTGACCCGTAACGGTATAACACTACATATATTATTATAATGTACGAGTAGCGTATTCGTTCTATGAGGTGTGCCGAGGTCGATTCATTCATATGTGTTATACCTATATAATATGTTATTATAATGGATATAGAATAGGTATATGGCCATTTATGGTTGTCCTAAAATGCAGTGGTATACGTACAACTACTGCAGTTTTACAGTTAAACAAGTCATATTGGAAAAGTGCGTGGGAACAATATTTGTCTGGGATCCACACCCACTCATTTACATTATACGTATAGCTGCAATGTATATCTGAGACTTTTGATGGTAGGTAGGGCTCCAGGAGTTTGTTTAAGGTTTATCGGCCGCTACACCTACTACCATAGTACAATAGCTTGGGATGGGCTGCGTCTTCAAATAAACTCAAATTTAATTATTTCTTATACCAATATTTAGGTACTGTACTACAATATTAAAGGGTTTAATAATTCCAGTACAATAATAATTGTCTATACTACCTGTAATCATCGACATTTTACACCGGGATATTATACCATTCTTTATTGGCCTCGTGATTCGTATTAACGATATGCAGCAGAAGTGCTGTTGAGCTTTACATTTCTAATTTTGCTTCAACACTAACCTATACCTACATCACGCTATTACCTATAAATTATGAGTTTATGACATATATCTGCATGAAGTTTACATCAGATAGATGTAGTAGTATATAAAGTACCAAAAATATGAATAAGTAGATATACATAAAAACACCAATCAATTTTTTACAAATGACAGTCAAGTATATATTATTATAAATATTAAGTTGATAATATTTGGCACTCTATAGAGCAATATAGGTTATATTACGCTATACTAATTGTTAATCCGAACCTGAAATCTATATAATATATCCTATAACAAGTATAACAATACACATATAAAATATAATAATATGTCATGTTGTGATTTTTCAAATAGTTATAAATATTTTTTTATGCAATAAGATCGAAGAATTTTCATTGATATCACTGAAATGGCCGAAATACACTACCTACTCCTAATTGAGTAGATAGTAAAAAACTTATTGTTTCATAAAATTGAGTTTGATTTAACACTTATAAGTTATAACTTTATAAGTATATACAGTACATAGATGATGGATATTAGTTATGCCTATTGATAAATTTATCGATCCCTATAGTATTATGCTATTTTTACTACATGAGGTCATAACTGCAAATACTGATAATAGGTACATGCATGTGGTTAGTTATCTGATTAGAGCAGTAAGGTCATTTATACTATATGGGTACTCTGGTACTATATATAGTATAGTATAGTCTATACTATAATGACTAATGAGTAAATATAATGTATAGGAATTTATAACAAAATATAAATATAAATGGTTATTGTTATTAATATTATTTAAATTTCGAATAAAATATAGTAGGAAAAATCACAAATTTTATCATATAATAATGAAAATGTAACTTTTTGAAGCATTTTTTTTTTTTTTTTAAATATTCCATCAATTGCTACTTGAGTAATATTTATTGCGGATGGTTAACCACATTAATCGCCTGTGGTACCTATGTTTAATGACTTGGTGGCAAGGTTTTATAGTAGTTTTATTTTTAATTTACATTTTCATGACATATAATATCATAAAATTACATATATTTTTTCAATATATCTGTAGACACTTAAATTGACGCTTATTTCATTATTTTTTTTTCTCTATCTTTGTCATTTTTGTTGTGTTATTTTTATAGCGAATACATAATATACTAAAATATATACATATAAACATTATATTTGTGAGTGCTTTAAAATCATATCCCTAAATTATGATTCTAAATAAATTTAATTCTAATTGTATGTAGAGTAATCTAAGTAGACACACAATATATAAGTAAATTAAAAAAAAAAAACACTTATGAGTTATGACTAATATACGTACTATGTTTATAACGACTAAAGTCAAGGTAAAATGTATTTATGTATATAGGTAATTCAGAGTTTACCTCCGAAATTCACGATAAATATATCGTGAATTTAACCTATAGGTGCCAAACGTCTAACATTATAATTTATTAATTAATAACTTTAGTACCCTTTAATAGTACAATTTTTTTTAGTTTAGTACTCGTACTAATTATAGTTATTATAGTAAGTTAAAAATGTATATTTAAAATGTATGAAAATAATTTGATAAAACGTTCAGTGTTAAACATTTTTTTTATAAATAATACCTAATAGTTTTATTTAAATCGGTAGAAATCATATAATAGCTAGTATTATTTTCCAGTTTCCTATTATAATTTTTTCTTGCACTAATTTCAACCAATATTTTTTTGGCTTAGCCTATAGCCTATAGGTATTACTATTACCGTAGTATAGGTATTACTATTTATTATAGGCGACTATTTTTAAACATAGGTTATTATGATAGTGCTAGTAATATCATTGATTGTGGATACTATATAGGTAGTATGATCTATAATCAATGGTATAATATACAGAAGAAAGTTTGAAACGGCAAACACTTATTCTTAAATACAATCCAATTATTTTAGTTCGACGTAATTCTAAATTAGACTAAAATTGAAATTTTATTTCATTTTTGCAATCAAGCTAGTGGTATTTTTCTCTTCTAGCTTGCATCGTCGTAAATGCACGTACCTATATAGGTGCGTACCCATGTACGATGTACGGTTCTTAATTCTAATTTTACCACGTTTCGTTTTGGTGTGCGGTTAGAGTTTATCTTAACAATTATTCTATAGACAATTAATAACCAATAAATTGTACAATTTGTACCGAATCGTTGTATAGCGATAGCGTTATTATTATCATATAGGCCTGTGCGTGCGTGGTACGTCTACACCAGCACAACCTTTAATTAACGTATTATAATAATATGTATTGTAAGGTGTATAATATAGATTGTAGACATCGTAATATATACTACACATATAGATTAAACCTAACCTAACATGGTAACATACCAATACGAATATACGTCTTATCCAGTAGTTGGTCAATTTTACGTGTGTATTATAGCTAGCACTGAGTTTTCATTTATATGTTAGCCTGTTAGCGTTTAACCGAATTCTAACTGAAATATTTTATTATTAAACAACAACTATTTGGCTGATATTTTTGACCGGGTGAAGGCAATATACTAATAGACTACTAATAGTCACGTTGGACGAGATTTGTTTACAATATGGACAAAATGTCTTTAAATTAGATTGACAATAATGTACAATATTCTGTAAAATTTTCAAAAAAAAACGTTAAGATGATAACTCGGCCACGAGCCAGTTCATCTTGGCACTCGGAAACCGTTACGATTTTACAAAAATAGAAGTCCGAAAACTATATTTTTTCAATATAATATAGTTTTTAGAAGAATGGTTGCCGCGTGTTAAGTTGAACTAGACGAGTTATACTTTGAAATAGTGGCGTGGTGAACATTTATAAACCTTGATGCCCAACATATATTTCAATACCTACCCACTCTGTATCCCCTTAATATAATATATAGTACATATAATTATTATGTAACTGTAAATATTTTAATTTTTGTTGTATGTTATTGGTTACCAAAATGTACCCAAACCACAACCCCCCCCCCCCAAATAGTAAAAAACCTAAATAGTACATAATTTATTACTCCTTAAAAATGAATACACATTATAACGTCATTACCTATAATGAATTGCCTACTTACTTTTGATTATTGACTTAACGAACTATTTAAAAAAAATTAATCACATAAGTATAATAGCTAATAGATATCTAATTTCAAATTAATTTTGTATAAATATAATATCTTAATTAAGTTCAATAGCAAGTTACCCAAAGATTATTCTATTGCCACTATTTTCAGCCCAAAATTGAAATAAATAACAACAAAATGATTGAACTTTTGAAAAAAAATTTTCTGTCGCTGTGGTTATACAAATATGACTTAGGTATAGGCTTATTAGTAGGTACAATATTATTTATAAGCGCACTCACGTGAAACGATCGGCCCCGTCGATTATGTCGTGGGTGACCGACTCCTTGGTGTTGGACACGTCGCCGTACAGCACGTCGCCGATGATGCCGAACCGCTGGAGCACGTCCACGCCGCGACCGATGTCCACGTTGGCGGCCGCGTCCACGCAGACGGCCGCCTTGAGCGCAAGCAGCAGGACCGCCGCGACGGCCAACGCGTCCATCGCGATCGGCGGATCCGTGAAGTGCAGACACCGGGTGAGTGGTGACGTTGGCTGAAGCGATGCCGTCCGTCGCGCGGTCCTCCGATATTGCCGTGTTCAGCAACCGGCAGTAGTATTGACGTCCATCGCGTCCGGTCGGTCGCTGCAGCAGCTTATATATATACAATAAAAACGGTGTATCCTACTATGTAGGATTTGCGAGACCGTCAAGCGGGGGAGAGCGCGTACGTTGGCACTAAGCGGCGGTTCCGTATGTACATACAACACACGCGCACTGCGCACACATCACTTGCGCGTGCTATAGTTGTAAACTTGTAAAATTGTATTCCGCAAAATAATAATATTATCAAATACGTTATGGAGCGAAAACTGAATGAGATATAATAATAATTTTCGTATAGGCAGACGGCCGACGGGAATTTATTATTATTATTTTTGTTATATAGTGTGCGTGCGCGCCGGAACGTTTTGAGTCACCGCTCACCTTATCGCCGGAGCTGTATTCGTTAAACAATCAAAATACAACGTTATTATCGCGCGCTTGTTTTATCCATACCGGCTGGCGTATACAATAATTATTATATCAGAAGATAAACCGATCACCTCCGATACAGTTCCTAGCTACCTATTACATGCCTATGTGTATAATAATATGATTAAATTATTGTATAATAATATAATATTATGATTATTAATTATTAATTATTCGTGTGCATTACCACACATCATGTGCGCGTGATCGTCTTACCGTGCCAGGGTGTGCCCGCGTAGCGTCCCCGATGTTTTTTTGGATGCAAGGAATTTAGCAAAACATTTTTAATTTGATTTAATTTAATCATTCGATTGATAGATCGAATGATAAATAGATAAATATATTATAATAGGTAAATTAAATAGGTGAATCATTGTGACGCAATTACTGATAAATAATGGCTTTTTTTTTTATATATGTACCTATATCCAAATTATTGTGTCATAGCCCATAGGTATACGTGAAAAAAGTCACCAATAATATAATATTATTTTAATGTCGTATTGGTACTTACCCAGGGGCGTCATTTGGGGTATTGCAGGGTATGCCTATGCATACCTAAAATTATCAAGATGCAATTTGGCCCGACTATAATTTTTCAGCGCCGGGTAAAAATTATCCTTTTTAGATTCTGAGTGGAACGATGAATGTATTGATTTTACAATGATGTGTGTTTTTTTTTTATTGTTTTATTTATTTTTTTATTTTTTTTGTGTCTGTGTACACGATAAGTAGGTAGTCGAAATAATGCTTTGATTTTCAACTTCAGTATCTTGTTCGATTGGAAAGTGAATATCGTTGGTGCATTGGGGAGGTAAAAATTTAAATTTCCCAGTAGCTTTCAAAAGCGCAGCGAAAAACAAAAGAAAAATTAAGGAAAAACGGGAATTTTTAGGCAAAATCTATTTTCGAGAAAATCGATTTTTGTTTTGGGTGTAACTTTAAAACAAATGACCGTAGATACATGCAATTTTCAGTGGTTGTTTATATTTGCATTTTCTATACACGATAACATTTTCAAAATATTTTGATTTATTTTGAACTGTTTAGGGACATTTTCAGTTTCCAATTTTATTAGTTTTTTTTTATGAATATCAATACAAATTTATTTATTGAATAAAAATACTTGAAAATTGAATACAAGGCTCCTACTATATTGTTTCAAAGACAGATGAAAAATATTAATAATCGTTAGTCACAGTTTTTTTTTAAGCATTTAAAGTTCAAAAAATGACAAAATATAAGAAAATCACGAAAATTTGCAAATTATTTCGAGTTAGAAATTCATAAAAATTTTTCTTTTTAAATCTAAGATATGAAAATGTAATACAAGATTCCTTATAAGATTTCCTACATTTATCAAAAAAAAAAATTCTATAAGAAAGTCAAATTAAATTTTTATGAGCGTTTGAAATTCAAATTTTTACAACATTGGATAATCACTCGATTTCTCATGTAGCGATTTCCTTATTTTGTTGTAATTCAAAAACGAATTACTGTAGATACATGAAAATTTCACTGAATGTTTATATTAGCATTTCCTATACACCATACTATTTTGAAAATATTTTGACTCTTTTTGAGCCGTTTACGGACATTTTCAGTTTTCAATTTTTTTAAGTTTTTTTTTTCTATAAATATCAATAAAGTTTTATCTGTTATGCCAAAAAGTGTAAAAAATTAATACAAGGCTCCTGATATATTGTTACAATAGCAATTAAAAAATATTAAAAATACATAGGCACAATTTTTTTTTATAAGCATTTAAAGATCGCATTTTGACAAAATTTATCAAAATCTCGAAAATTATCAATCATTGTAATTAATAAATTATAAAATGTTCAGTTTTTATAGCTAAGGATTGAAAATTTAAAAAAAAGATTCTCATAAATAGTTCATACTGTAGCCAAAAAATCTAAAAAATATATGAACACAGTTATTTTTTACAGACATTTTAAATTCATATTTAGACAAAATTACATATTAAAAAACCTAAAATAACTATTTTAGTTATTTTGTTGTGATTGTATAATATTATTCGTGGGTACTTGAAACTTTTAAAGTGTACTATTATATATAATATCTATGATAGTATCACGGTTTGTTGTTGATGTATAACGCTTATAAGTACCTAATGGATATTGTGATATGATTAATTTGGAATTTATTATAGGTCAATTTTTTGTTTAATATCATAGATATGTATATAATATGTCTTATACCTAGACTGACGTACCGTCTCCGCTCAGAATCGTTTTTCTTATACAATGATATTATATCGTTGAACCTACTGTACAGCAGAGCGACATCCACTTACCCACCTTTTTTTTTTATATATATAATTGGTCTCGAGTATCGGCATCTATCATTTATGGCTTATGCTATATGCCCCTATAACTTATAAGACCATACGCCGTAGTAGATAGTAGATAAATAACTTATGTGTGATTAAAGATTTCATAATTTGTTTTGTTTTCCTTAGTGTTTATAAATATGAAATAATGATATTGAAAATAAAATAATGTACGTTTTAAGTGTGTAGTATTGGGTGTTCAATATTGGTATTATATGAAATAATTTGATTGATAAAAAATCAAACTTTCGAGCGGAGCGAGAAAAAATTTTTTTTTCTAATTATTATTGTGTATATAATAATATATATTGGCCTGCTGAAAATTTTTTTGGCCTGTCCTGATGTTAGCATATCTTTCAAAAAGTTGAAATGACGCCCCTGTAACTTACCCATATAATGATCCATAAGTAATATTACCTATTATAATAATATGTTTATTATATTATATTGATATTGATCACGATATCGATGTAGCAGAGTTGACTGAGTTCTTGTTTTCGTAAGACAGCCAATAAACGCTAAATATAGTGGCATTCAGTTAACATACGATTTTTAAACACTGGAATGTTTGATTTTTGTTTCACATTTCTCTTAACATTGTATATAACATTATAAAATACATTGTTATAATAATGAGTCATGTCAAAATAAGTCGAAAATTTTAATGTAAATACGCATTGGACATTCGTTTAAAAAAAACTCTATTGAAAAATAAGAGTTGTGGTTAGGTATATATAAATGATTTGTATTAATGCCTACCTATTTGAACCTTCATAATATTGCATGATAATATGTTAATTATTGTTTCGATCGTTCGATAGTTGAGATTATAATATTATGCTGAATAAGATAATTAAATAAAATAGAGCATTATTCAGCCGCACGCACTACATTATAACCATCAAATACTATAAAATATATATTTGACGATAAAGTTGCACATCACATCACACAAGTCTAATCAGTCAATGACCAAAGAATTTATGATTATAATATACATCGATCATCGATGACGTCGTTTGGTTAATAGGTACCTACCTAGATATACATACACCAGGAGTGGCTTTTTTTATAGGCATTTCATATTAAAGCCCTCGACGTTGCTGCAGGTTTATTGTTCATCGCGAGTTTGACCTTTGTGTGTGTATTATAATTTATAAAACCGACAACGGCGGTCACTCATCATATGTAATCGAAATAATTGCGCTATAGATAGTGTGAATATATATGTATATATCATTACACATTATGTTTTACATATAAATGCTCGTGGCTTGTATACCTATTATTATCCGATAATTTGCAATCGCCTATAGTATTGTTGATGTACACGTATATATACCACGGTATACATATATTATATATACAATATATATAGTTAGGTAGTAATAGGCAAATATTATAGTTCACACCTTAAAAGTCCCAAAACTATTTACACGACCCAATGTCCCACTTATACGTAGGATATATAAATTATACTTTGATTATTGGTAGTAGCTACTCATAGGCACAAATAGGGGAAGGGCTTTAGGGGCTAGCCCTCCAAATATATCCTAAAAAATGTATAAGCTTATTCAATATTATTACAATATAGGTCTTCAGCCCCCTCTCCAAATCTCTAACTCTATATGCCTATATGTAAGTTGCAGGTACTATATGCATATTTTATAGGTAGATACTAGGTACATAACATAGAGGCCATAGAGCTATGTCCTAGCTGGTTTGCATGCATTCGGGGAAAAACAAAATAGCTTGTATTTCGCCGCATGCGGGCAACGCACTGCTTGCAGAACAGCATGGTCAGTATATAAAACGTACGCACTCGCCGCACTAGCTAGGAGTGCCTAGGACATAGGGTAATAGTCAACCTAATTTTGAACTAAAAATCAAAGCTATATTAAAATTAATTATGATTGGTTTAAACAACCGTGTAAGTACAACGTAATATACATAGGTACAAATTAATAATAATTATTATTATTATTTACTTACAAAAAACATATTTTATCGACTATTATCGGCTATCGCATTAGAAAATTGTTTAGTTATATCTACTAACTACTAAGTTTAAGGAATTAAGGACGTAACTTTTAGTACTTAAAATAGACAAGTTAG